CTCCTGCCGAGGGTTCGGATCCCACATACAGACCGGCCACTCACTGGCTGAGCGAGGAGCGGGGGCAGCACCGAGGGTTGCGATCCCGTTGCCAGTCCCAGTCTGGTACGGGCGCGACACTGAGGGTTGCGATCCGTTGCTGGGCACGAAAAAAGGACAAAAAGACAAAAAAAAAAAAAAAGTGTCTGCAGGTCTGCATTCTATCTTGCTATCACCTAGTTCTTTCTCTCAAACTTGTGAAATTCATGCTGTCTGTGCACCTCAGTCAGCAGCATGTACTCACCTAGGACCGGCATTTCATCCTGATCCAGGTCAAAAGTTTCCTTAGTTTAGTTCTGAAAAGACCCTTCCCTCTGATACTGCACATATGATGCTTCACATACAATAAATTGAATTTCTAGTTTTTCTCACACAGGCATCACAGGAACTACTCCCAAACATTTAAGCAACTTTTTGCAGCCCAAAGCTTACCTTTTTCTCCAATGCTCAGGGAGACCTGGCATCTCCTGTCGTTTGCTCACCAGCATTAGTGGCCTCTGTTTCTGAGGTCAGACTTCCCTCCCTGCATCCTTCCATGCATCAAACATGACTGGCGGTAGTGTATGTACAAATACCCCAGCTCCCTCTCTCCTTGGGTGGGATAACTCTGAAGTGCATGTTCCACCAGTTTCCTAGTGGAGCTTGCCCGCAGTAGAAACCAGCTTGATAACATATCCTTTGTTGGCTTCCTTCCCCTTCCTGTCTCACTTCCCCGCTCCCCAACAGTGTTTCCTGAAAGTACCTCCTAAATCAAATACTTGATTCAAATCCTAATTTCGATCCCCTTGTATAGGGGAATTCAAACAGTGGCATATACCTGCTGCCGGCAGGCCTGCTGCACTGCAGGTTTCTGGTAGTATAGTATCATTAGCTTATAATTCCCAGTCAGATTTGAAAACCCTCAATACTAGCAACCTCTGCAGTGTGCTGCCAACAGTGAATGCACATATGAAACATGCCCTAAACAAATCATAAAGCAAACCCAGCTCTCACAGGTGCACCTGGCAACTTTGACAACTTTGTTGTCCAATATTCGTCCTCCTGCTTCTTCACTACGAGCCGAGTCTCCTGGGAAGCATCCACAGTCACTATGATGGTCATGAGCTCCCCCAGCGACGGGAGAGCAGGTGGAGATCAGGAATTGTCTTGTGGAACCATCTTCCTACCCCCCAAGAGGAGGCTTATTGGCCTAGCCAAAGATGACACCTGTCAGGAGAGCTGCCAGCTATCTCCACCCATACTGCCAAGGACTCCCGAGCCTTCACTTTGAGTGCAGTCTGTAACAAGGTGGTGCAGTTTGCATGGCTGGGAAGCAACAGAAACATTTTTAGAACAACTGGCATTGCTCTTGTGTTCTCAGCTTCAATCTTCAAGGCCAGTTTTGTAAATAAACATTGAGTTCCTGGTGTTTTCAGCCCTGGAGCTTTCTTCCCAGCATAAGACCACATTAGTCAGGACCCCACATCTTGACACCCTCACATACTCTTTTCTCTCCTCAAACTTCTGGCATCTTTTCCCTCTGCAAGGGATGTGGAAAGGGGGCTTGTCTTGAATATTCTGGATAATTAGTAAAATTCCTTGTCATCACCCCATGGCACACTCACAGAAGGCCAGAAAAGTGACCAAGACTTAGTGGAAATGTCTAACTAAGAAGCTACTGATTAACACATCATTCTTTAGAGATAAAGATGTGGCTGGCCATGTGCATCTCCTGGGCTGAGGAGAACACAGGCATGAAACCACAGCCAGATATAAGTGGGAAATAAGATTCTTTGGCTGCTGATGGTGTAATGTTTCAATAATCTCAGCTGGTTCAGTTTTAATTCCAGATAAGTAACATATCCCTACTGTGACACTATCCAAGCAGAATTTTAATAGTCTGCTTCCTTATTGTCTTCTGCATTTGTCTTAGGACTCCTTGAAGGCAGGATTTGTGCTTTTTATCCCCAGCAATTAGCATCTCACTTGTACTTGGTACCAGTGATAAATCACAAAAATGCCCACAATCCTTCATGTCCCCCTGCATCCATGCCCATGTGACTTTGCAGCTATTCCCCTCACGAGGTAGGAGTCTATATCTTCCCAGCCTGGAATCTCCACTGAGACATGATTTGACAATTGGATGCAAGGGACCTGACACTACTCTGTTCCCCACTTAGGTCCCATGGGGCCTTCTGATTACTTTCTTAGAACCCTGCCCTGCCTCCATACAAACAGGTTCGTCTAGCCTACTGAAAGATGACCACCAGCTCCAGCCCTCACAGACCATCTGTCTGCAGATGCACATGTGAGTCCAGCTGAGACCGAAGAAACTGCCCAGTTGAACTCAGTGCAAACTGCCAACCCACAGAATTGTTAGCTACATAGATGGTTGTTGCTTTTAAGCCACGGAAGACTGAGGTGGTTTGTTGTGCAACATAAGTTAACTCGTACAGAACTCAATATTTTTTTTTGCTGACTCACTGAATGAATCAGAGGGGCAGCTGACAGAATTGTCAACATAAACAGCATCAATGTGCCTTGTCCTGCTGAACCAGGCTTTTC